TCCAGTAGCATCCTGGCTTTGTTCATGAAAAATATATGCCTAGTTAAAAATACCCATCAGATTCTCCTATAGCCAGAGGTGGTCATGAAACCCAGTTCTAGCCAATGATACAAGTCTTCTGGGTAGGTCTTACAGAAAGACTATTGTTTACCTAATATAAAAAGGGCAGACTTTGCTACTATATGCCTTTTACTTTCATCCTTTCTCACCTTTTAACTGAAGCACGGACACAGTATGTCAAGAAGTGGCCACCTTAGGACCATGATGAGAAAACCACACCTTCAGGAAGGGAAGGAGGGAAGGAGGGAAGGAGGGAAGGAGGGAAGGAGGGAAGGAGGGAAGGAGNCTGCTGGACTCCCTATTGAGAAAAATAAATCCCTGTTTGTTAAGCTAATTTGATAAAATTTCCATTACCCATATCCTGGTGCAATCCTAAAGCGATGATACAGTAATTGATAATCCTAGTTACCAACAGGAAGTAAAAGAGCCTAACAAATGTAAATTAGTTTCTACAGCACTATCATGCCTCTATCTTGAACCACCTAATTTTTAGATACTTTGAATCACTCATTCCCTAGCTTTACACTAAACCTAACTAAACAGATCTAATCACTACTGACCTTTTCTTTAAAGATAGTATAAAAATCCAGGGAGATAAATCAATGAGTAATATAAAAATTGTTTACCGAAAAGAAATTTTTCCAAAATAGTTTTGGGTGTTATAAACCATACATAAGCTTTGTTTGTCTTTGTTTTTCCGATTCCAGAGGCTTCTGACCAACCAATCTTAGCACACTGATCTGCCCCTAATAGGTTCCAGGTGTGTCGAGCTGCTGCTTCACTTCAGTTCACAGGTCAACCGTGTAGGGCCTACAGTGGCCAGAGCCCCCAGGGCCGGCTGCCTGTCACCACAAGAGTCCTGTCTGCTTACCTCAGTGTACTCTGCAAACATTCTCACTGCCTATGTGCATCACAATGTGCATAAGGTTGGGAAGCACTACCCTAAATGACAGCGAGATGCTATCAAAATGATAACATCAATGGGAAAAATGACCTATTAACAAGACTGCATGGAATAAAAATTAACTCACACACAACACTGCTTTATTCTTGGCAAAATCATGAGTTGTCAATAGGGCACTCGTGTTTATTATCACAGACAGGTGATTTGCCTGCTAACACACACTGCGAGGACACGGCAGAGCCAGGACTTTGGAATCAAGGATTTCTGCCTCTGAGCGTGTGCCTTTCCTGTAGGGTGACATTCCAAGTCTATACAGGTCTTTAAAATTAGCGTTTGAGTTCATTCTCTGAAGAAAGTTCAAATGGTTTTCCTTTGTTTTCTCTTGTGACTGCCATGCAAACACTAACATACATGGAAACTGATACTGTCTTTGAACTTAGCAAGACTGAGAAAGGACAACATTAAACGGCATATTTAGGCCACGCCAATTTTCTTTCTTCAGCTCCCATTGCTGACACCCAGAGATCTAACTCTTGTTATCTTGTGTGAGTAGAAAAGAGAGTTTTGCCTACTACTCTCCCAAAAAGTATTTATTAAAAACAAAATAGTATGCTGCCATTGACCATGCTGAAGTTTTGTTTTGATTTGCCAATTACAATTTCTCATTGTCCTTTCCATAAAATAGAAGAATAGGGAGAAATAAAAGAAATTGTCAAAATTAAATTACATATTTACCATATAAAAGAAAGTAAGTTTTACACAGAAGGCAATTATTGTCAAGAGACATTATTGAAATAAAAAAATTTAAGTTTGCTGGTCCTATTTTAGAAAAGCTAGACAACCAATAGATTTCAATGACTAGAAATGATGATTTAATTTCTTTATAATGCAGAAACAAAGAGGGTCCATGCACAAAGATAGGAAGGTATACGAAAACGTCTATAAGTACCTATTATAGACAGATTAAAAGCACAAGCGAAATCTAAAATATTAATCGAATATTAATGCACTGTTCATAAAATAAGAACATGGTGGAATGGTTGAGCATGCATGAGTTAAAACAGTAAGTGTAAGCAAGCATAAGTTAGGGAATATAATAAATGCAGTGGTTATGGACATGAGCTCATGGCTTGTTTAGAATTTCATGTTTAAAGACATGGGCTCTAGATCCAGAACACCGAGGTTCAGATCCTGGCTCTATCACGTAGCTGGGTGATGACAACATGCTTAAATTTTTAGTGCAGAAAAAGTGTTGCTTTCTTGATCCTATTGACAGTTAAGATTAGTAAAATTATATAGCATTTTATAAAAAATTAGAATTCTTATATTGATTAATTGCTTACTTTCAGTAATACTTTTTAACCAAAGTTCACCAACCACAAAATGTACACAAGGCATAAAATAAATTCTGTCACCCAATAACAAGTAAGCAAAGACTAAACTGGAATATCATAAGCACAACACTGCGGGCAAGTCCATGGTAAAAAGCCAAGCTAACCTAGTTCCATGACAGGTCCCACAACAAGCACATTTGAAAGCAATTTGTTTCTTCCATTAAATACTGGGGTATCCCATCCTATTCTACAAGGTTCAGTCACGGCAGCCCCAACACGATCTTATTACTTTTCATCATGGGATGTAAATTAAACATTCTCCTCAGGAGCTAACTGTAAACATAAACCCTACTTCTCAGGAAATTTGACTTTACAACATACTTAATGAGGGTGTGTCTAACTGGCCAAGTAAAAGTCTGCCTTCAGGAATAAAGTCGTTTTGGTGTGCGCAGAGGTGGATCAATGCTTGTGTGTTCCAATGGTAAGTTCACTTGAGTCAAATTTAAGTAGCATATCTTATCCATCCCGTTTAAGCTGTACATGCAAAGTTAATCTAGGGAGAAATGTATACTCAGTATTACAAAAATAACATGTCTCTAAAAATTTAAAATATACTAAAATTTCCACCAATTCTCATTTTTTAACTTTCAACTGCTAAACTTACAAGTTTTCCTAATATAAAGATGAATGTACAGAAGTGTTTTAAAATGTGAAATCACAGCTCAGGGCAAGAAAATGCAATATCCTGAGCAATCATAAATAGAGAAACTAATAAGGAATGAAATGCTAGGTCAATAAACACCTCAAGCAAATATTAAATGAATACTCCTAGAGCATGACTTCAATTCCCAAAATAATAAAGTAACATACTAATGTTACAGAAAAGCTACCCAAATAGCCTCAGCTAAAACACATCATCTTTGTTGTCTGTTTCTGAAATTATGCACTTCAAGAATAAATTCCAATTAAATTATCCTAGCATTCAATTTTACTTTGAATCAAGTCACTGTTCTTAGCACTATATAAACCATATTAAAGCTTCAATATTCGCTTATAGCCTAACACATGTAATCACGTATAGTGGTATACTTAAATGAAATGGGAACAAATTCCACACATTTTCCTTAAGTAGATTTTAAGTTGGCAAACAGGTTCCATACTAAGCAAGAAAACAGCTCATTTCTGTGGAAACTTCATTCAGTTTCCATCTCATCAGGGTTTCATTTTCCATAACCAAACATAGGAAAGGTCAGCGGTGGGCGCAAAGGAGAACACACATGCATGGGACACTCAGGTTGAGAACCACACAGCCTGCTGCTGAGCAATCTGGATGTGCCTCCACCCCCCCCCCCCC